TTCTCAGCTACTCCCACAAAATCGTCCTGAAAGGGCACCCATCACCCAGTGGGAAGCTGGTTCTGGCTTGGCAAGTAGCTCTTTTCTGAGAAGAAAAATGACATTTAACTTCAAGAAGCACTCTGCTCAGATGGGTACCCCTCAAACCAGGGGCATAATCTGGGGGACTAAACATGCAAAGCACCTAAGTTTTAGGATATCTAACAATGGGCTATCAAGATGGCAAAAAAAAAGCTGGGAATACAGGGATTCAACTTTTCATTCATTACTCAGGGAAAAAAAATCTCAAAATGAAGAAATTATGTACAAAACAGATGTGCAATATGCCTACTTGAAACTTAAGATTTAAAAAAATTATTTATAAGGAGAAGGGTATGAAAATTTAATTTAATGTTCACCTTAGGTAATTTTGTGTCTTATTGTTCATAGCAATTACCATAAATCTGCATATCAATAAGCGAGAACAGATGTCAGTTGTTACAAGTGCTTGCCAATCAGGTCTGTTAAAAAGTGACAGATGGGTGGTTATAGAACATTCTCATAAGGCCTATTAGCACATTCGCAGGAAGTGTCTGTAGTGTGACTGTTGGAGACTCGGCTTTGGGAGGAATGCTGAGTCTTTGTGGGTCTTCGTGGATCTATGCTGCACACTTCACAACTCTGGCAGGGTTTCTAATTTGAGATTCTCAGACTCCTATACATTGTTTTTTGCAAATGTCTTCCCTCTTCTTCACTTGTGACAGACATCTATGATAGTCTATCGGGATGTAAAGTTGATAAAGGAGGAGCTATTTTGTTGTTTCAAGCGAATATTTGCACTCTAAAATTTTATTGTTACTTTCAAAACTTAGAACCAGATATTCTGGAAGGGAATTACAACTAGCTTCACTGAAAATTAGAATTAAAATGAAACAGTTTACCCCAATTCATCAACAGATACTTCTCTTCAGCCACAGCTTCACAATCTCCATAACTGGTTTAATAACAATTCCTCATCCCAGAAAAAAAATTCTCCTAACAGGGAACCTACTTTAAATAAATTTGTAACGTTTTCCAGAATGAAAGGAGGCATCTTCCCTTTACCGTCTCTGAATTGCTTTCTTTTTAACAGTTTTGGGGCTCGTGATCTATTGAGGTGTGGGACTTGTCATTTGGCCTGTTCCGCATTTGTGTAGGCAAGTCACTGCAGCTTGTATTCATGCACATACCTGAACTGGCTGTGTCACAGAGCAACATTTTACAGTCTTGGGGGCAACAGACAGCTCAAGATTTGGATCAGGCTGAGCTGAACTTGAAATTTGGATGTGCCACTTACTGGCTTAGTGACTTTGGACAAATCTGTTAACCTCCCTAAGCCTATCTCATAAAGTTGTTGTGATATTTGGGGATTCTGTATCCTAATCCATTTTATGCCACTTATTGGTGCTGTGGTCTCACAAAACTTATTTAACCTCTTCATACTTCCATTTATCCAACTGTAATACAGTAACAAACTATGTTTTTGTTCTTGGCATGCTGTGAGGATAAACTTTGTGGTTACCTCAAGGAGCTCTGTTAAAAACAAAATTGTGAAATACTACCCTTGTTTTTCCCTTATGATGCTCTTTTGAGATGATAGTTGTTATAAAGAAATTAAGGACCGAACAGAAACTTTACGTTTCTTCTATTTTCTTACAAGAAAAATTCAGGTTCTTAGCCCAAAGTCAGACTCCATGTTTCTGAGATTTCAGAAATTCATTGAACAAATACCAAGGTTGAATGGGAAATGGACAAGTTTCATTAGAAGTTTCAGGAGGAAAAATAAAATAAATCAACTTCAAGGAGTCACACAAAGTATATATAAAAGCATTTAGCTTATAAAGATTTGGTCTTAATCCTTTTTCTGCTTTTAAATTCCATATTTAGTGAAGGTTCCCTTTTATAAAAATCATAAAACACATTTAAAGTTATTTTTAGTTTGAAAGGAAAATGGTAAGATTTTTTGGAAAAAAAAGTATAGTTGATGTTTCATTCGACTTTATTGATGCAACTACTTAGTAACGTGTCATCGAAAATTTCTTTTTCTGTTGCTTTTTTGGGCTTTATTTTATTTTCCTCTCAAACAGAAAAATGTTTTACTCATATAAATGTGGCATTTTAGACTCTAGCTATAAACCTCAGTCTCCTGAAGGATAGACCATTACGTTTTGAGAGTTGCTCACAACAAAATATTATTGGGTTCTGAAATGATATTTCACTTTCTTGGGTGATAGTGCTCCAAGCTGGACTACTTGAATTTTATATATGGAGCTTATTATATATGCCACTGTAATACATAAAAATTACACTTGAATTGAATATATGCCCGCTGTCACTATGTCACAAAATCAATTACTCAACAAGCATTTTAACATCAGGTGGTGTTTGAGATAAATGACCTAGTGGGTTCCTTCAATTCTACTATTATATAGCTTCTATTGTATTTGTTAGGTTTTACATTAAACAAACTATCTCCAAATCCTCAACAATTTATCTGTGAAGATACTATCATTAGTTTATATGTAAGGCTAAAGGCAAATTTCTTGATTAAAAAACTGGGCATTTAACTTAAGATCCCATTAGGAATGTATCCAAAACATAAGTTTATGTCTGTCAATTTATAAATTTATTTACTTATCCACTCAAAAATAGTCATGAGCACCTCTTACAGGAGAAGGGCTGACTCCATCAGCTGCCAGCCATGCCCCCTAGAAGTACCAACGAGTTGGGGTTATTCAGAGATGTAAATGAGGAAGGAAGGAAGGAAGTGCAGGCCTTCGGGGGGACACAGAAGAAGGGTACCTCTCCCACATTTGAGGGAGGTGGAAAAGCTTCTTCTAGGAAGTAACCTCAATTACCAATCCACCACGATCACTTCATAATAGTAGTGGAGATTAAAGATAAGGACAAAAGTTCAGCCCTATTTTTGGGATAAGAAGAAAGAGTAGGAGAGGCCATATAACTCTTCCTTATTAAAATAGCCCAAACCATAATGATTCAAATACTTAGGAAGATGAAACCTGATTATCCATATAAATGAAGGGTATCCCTTACAGAAATCACGAAGCAGACAGACTTGACATCTACATTTTGAACACTGTAATTGTTCAAAATGATGGAAGGTAATGGGCTGTTCAGCATTTGACTTCGCAGCCTGGGCAGACTTACTGTGCTGAATTCAGTATGTTGAAGGCTTAAGAAACAGATATTTTTGGAAAGCCCAGAGCATTTACAGAATGCCTTTAAATTAGCCATCTGTTCTGTGCACCTTTGTAAGGTGACTCCCAGAAGCCTGAGTTTTAAAATGAGCGCACAGAGCATGTAAATGCTAACACCCTGACCTGTGGCTGGTGCGGCAGAGGCGCACACATCCTAATGAAAAATGACAGGGCACTCTGTCCATCCGAGAAGACTTGTTTGGCAGTAGCCTCAGGACCCAGTGACCCTCTCTGCATAATTCAGCTGTAGGAGTGGGAGAGCCTGAGGCTGCCTCTAAAGAAAGCCCCTAATTTCGGATCTGGGCTGGTTCATGCTATTAGAAGGAAAACAAATCTCCCATAGGCTGAAAGTACAAGTCTTAGCATTTATTTCAGAGCTTGCAATCAGGAGGTTTTCTCTTTTCAACCACAGAAAACCTCCTGAATATTTTACTTATGTCTCTCTAGTTCCCTTCATAGAGTTAAAAATGAATTAACCATTCAATGTGATAATTAGTTCCAAAGCCAGCTTCCCAAACTATATTCCTAAAGATACTGCTGAATGACTTAACTATTTATCATTTCAAGATACATTTTTTCTAATAATTCATAAGCTATATTACAACAGAACAAGCTGGCAGTACCAACAGATTTAAAGCCCAATGAAAAATTCAGCAGTATTTTTATTGTGGGCCAGCGCCCATTGTAACACGAGTCACCACGTGCCTATGGACCAGGACGGAAGAATGTGCCGATGATCATAGAACACATACAGAGAGAAACTTGACAGTCTTTCCAGACTCATTCAAAGTGAAACAAGAAAAAAACAAGGATATGTATTTGGAAAAAAGGAAAAAAGGAGTTTTCATAGTGACAGAGAAATCTGGTATTTACTTTGCACATTCAGGTTTCAGTTTGTCGATTCCGGGTGTCCTTGATTAAAACTGTGCTTGAATCTAACATGCCTAAATCTGTTCTTTTCCTTGTCCTTTCTCCTCCACCTTTTGGAATCAAACAAGGAAAAAGCTTTCTGACTGTTCCTTGTGGCAGGTTAATGGGCACTTGTGTGCTGATTTACTGTTAACGCTGCCTTCCCTGGCCTGTGTTCAGTTAGGATATTTCAGCATGGAAGGGAGCACAGTCGGAATGACCTTTTACTAATCACTGCACCTCAGTTACTAGTGGCACAGCTCATTATACAAAGGAATCCTTCTATGAGCTGGCTTTCATATACAGTCACACTTTGATTTTTGTGAGAACAAAGATTATACTTTCACATAAAAGCTTCTGATGCATAATTTTGTCAACTAGGGTACGAAAGTGAAAAGGAGCCCTGTTAATTGTCTGTCGTTATCAAGGGACTGCAAACTGTACCAAAGATAGCCTGCAATCTTGGCTTTCATTATGGAGGTCAGAACATTTTTATTGACTGCCTATTATTAAAATTTTAGAGGGATGTCAATCATTTTGGCTGCCCTGGATATAGAAATCTTGTTGGAAATCCCCCAGTAATCAATCCCATTTAAAAAAACAACAAATGACTAGAGAGAATACATACTATGAAGGAATTCTCAGCCCCTTCATTTTATACCTGCTTTGCATGGTGAAGAGTGGATAGGAAATGGAAGAGGCAGGAGAGCCATTTCTGAGCTGCTGATTCCAATTTTAATACTTACGACAGAAAACTAATAGGTCTGATAATGACTTCCTTCTTCTGTTTCCCTACTTCTTTTCTTTACCCTCTGGGCCAACCCCAAATTCAAGCAATGCATGGTCATGACTTACCAGCCATTTGCTGAATGCCACTGAATGCACCCAGGTTGCTGGAGGAGGTGGCCTGCTGCAGAAGCTGCAAGTGAACATACAAGTGTAAAGTCAGAACAATGTGCACATGAGAACAAAGAGACTTCCTCATTAAACTGGGGCAAATTCAGTTTACTCTACATTTATATAGTTGGTTGCTACTGCCTATTGATGGACAAAAGGTCCCCAGAGTTAGGGCTGTAAATCCATATTAATGTCTAATCTCTATTAAGAAACACAGACACTGGGGAAACTCACTAACACTGTGCCTTAAAACAATTAATCAATTTACTCTTTTTAACAACCAGGTGTTAAATCTATTGAAACCAACATAGCATGACTAATTATCTCTCTCTGTAGTCTAGTAGTTACCATAACTCATCTCTGTCAATCAAGGTCCATTCCCTCCATCTCTTTACTTTCCTTCACAGCTCAGCATCCTTTATCCTTCATTAGGAGCACAGGCATTCCCTGATTCTTAGGCCAATACTAAAATCATTAGAATAACTACAAAGATTTATAAATGTATCTCTTCACAGCCATACTGTTACAGCCACACTATGTAACCAAGAAGATGGTCAGCCATTTTTAAGACAGTCTTCACTGGCAGACAGAAACATGTATGTCAAAACTTGGAATTATCTGGTGCTATGTAAATTGAAGTTATGCACTACAAATGTCAGTCTTCTTAAAAAGAAATTAAAATACTTGTGAAAAATTCTGTATTTTTCCCTAGAGCATTCAAAAACATATTTTTCCTGCCACATAGAATCAGAGGGTGCCACAAAGTAAAGGCATGTGTCTCTAGTTCTGAAACACTCCTGTACTCGTCCAATTCAATCAAACTATAGGTTGATGTAGGTGTTATACTAAGTGTTTGAATAGATTTATTGATTTTTTTTTTTTGGTAAGGTAGATCAAAACAGATATAGTTTGTACGTGGGGGCAAGCACATAGTTATCTCCTATATTCAAATATACACAGATACCAAAAAGCATAGGTTTACCAAATTTGTTATTGAAATATTGTTATAATACTATGTGCTTACAAGGAACAAGATGAATTCACTATTTTAAAAATAGCTTTCAAAATTTATTTGGAGCTCTGCAAAATATAATGTAGAACACTGTTGTCCATCTGGGTAAATACAGGTCTCTTCAGTTTAATTTGAAAAACTCTGTAATTGGATATGACTCAAAAATGGGCATCTATCAATTGGTGTAAAAGCACCAAGCAGAATGGAATATCAATGGCTGATTAAACGTAAGTCTCAGGTACAATGATCTTATGGGACTTAACATTAAAAGGTACTAACACCAGAAAAATGTCTTTAATGTTCACTCATCCCTCTCAACTTTTCGGAATATTTTAACTAGGTGCTCTGCATGTGTGTGCATGTGCACATGCTCTCTCACATAGATACACAGAAAGGAAGAGAGGAAGAACGCATGGGAGCAGCTAGGGATTACCCATTTTAATAGAAAGAATTACCTTATTTTGGTTTCATTTGTTGGGTTTCTCATTCTCTTCATGTACAAGACCCAACACCCTCCTCATATTACATGTTTTTGAAAATTAAAGTTAAGTAAAAATAAATTAGCTTTGGCAATATTTTGAAGAATTAATAACTTATTGAAGTAGGTGGTAATACGTGGAGTGTCGTTAAACCATCACCAAGGACTATATCCATGGACAAACAATCTCTGGGGAGCCAGGGTCAGAATCTGTTGCTCAACACAGAGGTAGGGAATGCCTGACAGGCCAAGGGTCCTCTCAGAAAAAAGGGTTTTCAACTGAAAGGGGTACAGCAAACATGGCTAACAAAGAATCAAAACCCATGATATAAGAAAACACAGTAAGAGCTTATAAAAACAAGTATTTATAAATGAGACTGAGATTAATTCTTTTTTCTGGTATAGAAATAGTTTGCAGATGTGGTCACAGAAATATGTGCCAGGAGACTAAGAGCGGGCACATGTGTCTTGGTTTATAGAAATGGTGGAACAGGAAGCTGAAACCATGAAAAAGTGAGCGTGATGTCAGTCTCAGATAAAAATTGTGAAATACATAATTAAATTGACAGTCTGTGACCACCTGAACAGCAAAAGTTTGTGGAAACCAAATTATTAAGCTAGACTCATTTGTTTTTTTTATATAATTTCTAGACTGAAAGACCAGGAAAAAAATATGGCAGAGCATATACAGATTTTAGCAAAACATCTGACAAAACCTCTCATGGTATCTTTGTGGATAAGATGGGAGAAATGGGCAGAGGGTGACAGTAACCTTGGTCGGTGCTTTCATTAACTGCTCAGATGAAGACAGGAAAAACACGCTTCTTGTTCATTAACCAACTATATATTGAAAAACTATTATAGACCAGATCCCACTGGGCAAGGGGTGGGGTGGGTAAAAAGACAAACATGATCCATATCCATACTCACGGAGGCCTCAGAGAAGCAACGTGCAAGGTGGCAAAAAAATGCAGAGTTTAAACGCCATTAGGCACTAGCAGCTACAGGGTCTTGGGTAAAGTTGCTCAATCTTTCTGAGCCTCCCTCTCCTCATCTGTACAGTAAGCAGGAAAATCTCACCTTTCAAGGTAATAGGGAGGACCGTTTTACAAAACAGTACAGCTTCTGCTACAAAGTAAAGCTAATGGATGATACAATCCTGAGAGAGATAGTTAAAATGTAAAATGACAGAATTAGGACACACTACATGCACGCATACTCTCTCTCAGAGGCTGGAATAAAAGACCCAAATTCACAATATGAAATTATACTAATAAACATGAAGTCATGCATTTAGGTTCTGAAGCACTAAAATGAGGTAGAGGATCATGGTTTAGCAGTAGTTAAGTAAAAATAAAAATCTAGGAGTATCTGCTGCTTTCCAGCCCTCATTTGACATGATTATGACAAAAACCACTTTCAAGGTATGGTAAGATGTTTTAAAGTCTACACTAGGGGCCAGTATTCTGTCCTGTTTAGATCATACTAGGAGAACTGTCTTAAATTCTGATCACTAAAGAGACTGACAAAGTGAAACGTGTAGCACAAAGGAAAAATGAGAAAACGAAAGTTTAGAAACCATGAAATATAAGGGACGGTTGAAAGAATTGGATCTGTTTGACTTGAAATAGGATCTAACTTTTTTGGTTTTATTTTATTTTATTTTTTCCTTTTTGTCTTTTTTCGTGTCCGGCAACGGATCGCAACCCTCAGTGTTGCGCCCGTACCGGACCGGGACCGGCAACGGGATCGCAACCCTCGGTGTCGCACCCGCACCTCGCTCAGCCAGTGAGCGGGAACTGGTCTGTATGTGGGATCCGAACCCTCGGCGGGAGCGCCACCGCACTCCCAAGCGGCGCACTGTAGCAGTGCGCCACCGGGCCGGCCCATAACTTTTTTGGTTTTAAATAGGTGAAGTAAGAAACATTTAATTTTGTCAACACAGTTCCTCTGGGAAGCCCCAGGGTCACGGAATGAAAGTTCTAGGAGATTTCAGTTGAGGTCCTCACATGTACTAACCTGTGAGGTAGTGAGTTCACGGTTGTCTCAGCATTGTTAAATAATCAGCTATCAAGCACACTGCATCGCTTTAAGACAGGGTTTTATGGTGCCTTTCAAACAGTGGTTAGAAGTTTAGCCAGTGGGCCTTTGCCTAGCCTGTATCAGGCAAGAATTAGATTAGTCCTATTCTTATGCAAATCAATTTTGCTTGGAAAAACATTCTGCATAAACACTGATTTCAATAATTTCCTGAGACTCAAATGTACAGAAAATGAATTCTTTAGTGTACTTGGGGAAAAGTATGGTTTGAGTTACAGTGGGTGTCCCACCCCTTTGTGAGAAGTGCATGCTGGCTGATCTCCAGCACTTACCGCCAGGTACTGTGGGGTGAGTCCGCCCAGACCCGTCAGGTTCCCCCAGGTGGCAGTGTTGAGCTGTTGCATCTGTTGCGCGAGCTGCTGCTGGAGGCGCCTTTGCTCCTTGTCCTTCTGAGTATCAGCAAACTTCACCACGATAGGTGAAGAGCAGCCCTGTGGTCAGACACATTGGAAAGTGAAGAGGAAGTTATGGCCTGATTGAATCCTCTTAATACAGTCAGCACTGGATCTGTCTGTCTTAACTATCTTGAAACACATGGAATGGTCTGCAATGGTTTAAAAATGGTTTGATATTCCTTCTTCTCTGAATGGTACCATCAAGAGAAAATTCCAGATACTGACACTGGCTTCTTTGGGGGATCTGGTCTGGTGGTTGGTGAAGCCATCTGTTTTCTTGCTCTGATTATTAAACTGCCTCTCCTTCTCTCTTCATGTGTCTTCCTTCAACCATCCAGGACCTCCTTAGAGACAACAGATCATATCAATGTTCTTTAATTGAGCTTCACGGTTCGCTTGTCTTAAAGATAGACTTGATTTTGTGTGTCTGCCTATTTCCACATGTGAGCAGAAAACAAAGGAAAAGTAATTGTAATGGGAATGAAAATTCTCATTCATTTATTTTTTTACCCTTTCCAATTTTCAGGTATGTATTTTTGAACTTTGGAACTGTGGAAATCATCATATTGATCCAGTAATACTAGGGAGAGGTGGGTTTCATTTGAGGAATGTGGATGAAGGAAGGAGATATTCAGAGAACACACTGACCAAATAATTGTTCACATGTTTTCAGAAAGGTCTCCCTTTTTCCTTCCATGTCACATCTACTCTATCCATAATCCCTGGAGCTACTGCAAACACAAAAAACTGGAAGCTCAGACTAGCCAAAGGAGATGTATATCTTAAATGGCAGAAGGAGGATTCTACTTGGCTTCTTTCCCTAATGAAAGGTACCATTCTAGCAGCTTCTTTCAGTTTTAATTTCCTTTAAAAGGCAAGGAGTAGGGGTAGTGAGAAAGAAACGGCCAAAGGTCATATCATAGAATGAATTTTTTTTGGGGGGTAGATAAAATCATCAGGGAAAATAACGGCCTAACACCTCAAGCAGGAAGACCTCCTTTCTAAAGCGCCTTGGAAACATTTGCCAGTTGGTGAGTACTCAGCAGAAACGTGCCTCCTTCCTCCCTAGTCCTTCTCAGTATGGCTTGCCTACACATTTCATCATAATTAAAGCTGTTAAATTTTGCTGAGGTAAAAAGAAGTAATTCTACCTAAGTGATTAAATAAAAACTTTTATTGAAACTCAGCATGATAACAGAACTCTCAGAATGTTATAGTCCTATCCAAATGAGCTTTCCCTTCCATTCCCTTTGGGTGATTTTTCTTTCTTCTAGAAGACAAACTTGCATTTTTCCCCCCTTATCACCTTGGGTAGTTATTGGGGATGGAGCTGTGAATACATGAGCCTATCATGTCTGTTATTAAGGAAAAAAAAGTGAGGAAAATGAGATGACTGTCTCATTGTTAAGCTTCTGGCCTATCCATCTTCAGCTCTGGTAAGCAGAGTCATGGTACAGAATGTGAAATGTCAGTAAATTACATTAAAATAATATTTCCAACATTTAAAAGATCTATAATTCATTTTTCTTTATCTACTCCAAATTTCAGCACTTTATCACTGTAAAGAGAGCAAAATACTCTGAAGAAGAAAATGATCTAGAGAGGGGGCTTTGCATGGAAGAGGGTTGTTATTATTGCATCAGATCTGTTCCATAACAAATTATAGCATCTCCTAACAGTACATTTATTGTTTTTTTCTTCCTTAAATACTAAAAAATCATCTAAAAGCAGAAAATTAAGCCAATGATCATGGCTTTAAAAAATGACTTGTTTAAACTATGAAAGAAAAACAGGGTGGAGACAGAGTGAAGGAAAGTGGAGAAACAGAAGGCACAACATAAAATTGTTTTTAAAACCTTGTTCTTTTAATATTCACATTATCTTGAATTAGATAATACATCTTGGTTAAAGATGTATGCCAGAGTCCTGAAAATAATGTAATTAGTTAAAAACAAAAAACAAAAACCCTCAGTCGCACAATTCTGTGACTATATAATACTAGTATATAATCTCTTTAAAAGTCAACTTTGTGGAACTAAACAAGCAATCTAAGTGCCTCAGGGCATGTCCAGTTTTAAAAACAAGTACACCAAATTAAATTTTTCAGTAACAGAGATACTAATAATAAAGGATCAAGGATTTCTTAAGAATTAATACTCCCCATTGCCTATAACAAATTCTATTAGGAGAGCCTGTTACTTTCTTGGTTTTGGTTCACACCTAGCTCTGCTTTATCTTCAGCTCTCCTTCTACAGGAACAAGGAAAACAAGGACTACATCGGCATTCTCTGTGGCATTACCTGGGGGGGGGGGGGGGGGGGGTTCCAAGTGAAGGAATAGGGATGGCAAAGTTTCTAACAGAGTTGAAAGAATTTACATTAAAAAATTATCTAAGGTGAGACCAACTTGGGTGCAAATCATTAAATTACAGGAAATAAAAATTATTAAGAACGAAACATTTATATAGAAGATAAATACAGGTAAAGACTTTTTTTTTCCTAACAGCACTTTCATTTTAATCTCCAGACTGAAATGTCGCTGGAAATCAGACTGATCTGCAATAAGGCCACAGCCTAAGTTAAGAAAAAGGGGGAATCAAAACATTATCACAAACGAAACTGCGTGTTATACAAGACTGGATTCCTAGATATTTCAAATCCTGCTAATTATTTCCTATCACGGCCGATTTTCACCCCTACTTGCCTTCAGGTAGGGAGTGTGAGAGTCTTAAAAATGCATTGCACTGAAAGGGAAACACATTGATTATATAAGATATGTTAGGAATATCAAAGTCAAATGAATGTTTCAAAAAGACAACAGGCTTTGCAATGCTGATATCACAACTTAGAAAAGTACAGTAAACACTTAATGACAATTCCATGCACACTCCTTCCCTCCTTTCCACCCACCTTTTGATCCACTACAAAAAAGTTGCCCACAAAACATGACGCGTAATGATCACTTAGCTCCCGGCATGCTTTGGGAGATGCAGCATTGCAAAAAACAAAAATGAACAAAAAATAAAACCCCAACAAAATGGGGGTAAAAAAAAGAAGCTCAAACAATCAATAAAGAATTTTTTTGCACATTAAATAAAATTGAAACTTTTTTTTTTCAAAATATGAAAACATAGCTTAGATAACACCACAAAGCCACCTTCAGAAAAGATCACCCATACACAAAGGTACAGTATACATAATACAGAACATGCATTCCCAAATGATTCTACCAGACAATACAGAATAAGTAACAGCATATCACTCTTGGAATGCTTTTGTGCAAAATTCTGAAAGGTCATGACCCAAATCACAGACTAAAAGTGCAGAGCCATCTATCTACACTGGTGGGTATACATCAACACCAGGGTATTCATCTTCCCCTAAAGCCACTATCTCTCATTAGGAGACCAAATTTGAGCCTTCATGTTTCTATGTTATTGCTCATTTTTTAGTTAAGTAGACAAATCTAATTTTTCAGGGGACTCTCATATATTGGCATTTTTACTGTTAAATGAAATGGGAGAAGTCTTAACTTTCTCCAGCATTCTTGACACAAAAACACCATTCTGTTTGACTAAAGATAACTTAACCCCGCCTAAAAAAGGAACCATGTAACTTAGCACAAGGAAAGCAGCATTTGGTGTGGGGGAAGTTACTACTATTTAATCCATACCAACCCTGGGGTGGGGAATGTATTTGATCCTTTAGGTCCAGGAATGACACTGCTTAAAGTGCATCATGACTTTACATTGCAGGACCTGTGCTGCTGTAACAAAAGGCTCAAAAAACAACTGTAGAGTAAGTGGAAGGTATTACTAAATGCATTTCACATCATTAGGGGAAAAATGCAAAGAGAGAGAGAAAGAGAGAGAGAGAATGAATATGAATGAATGGAAAGTGAGATGGTAAAAGTTTAAATCTGTGATTGTCATGTGAACAATCCACACAGGAGAGAATTGCTTTACCATTCCCCATCATTTGCACAAAGAAAACAAAGAAAGGGCAGATGATACAGTACCTCCATGGTCTGAGACTGATGCATGGCTTTGATTGCATTCTGTGCCATTGCCCTTGTAGAAAATGTGACAAACGCACAGCCTGTGGGAAACAAGGGGACAGGGAGCAGGAAAGACAAAAAACAACAAGACAAAAGGGTTGGACGCTTGTTAAACCAACACAGTCTACGAGAACTGCCACAAGACGACACTGTTCTCAGTAGTACATAAAAATAAACAACTTCTCTCTTTGGTTTTATCTATTTTGCTTTTTATTCACAGTGCTGACTTGCTAATCTGACCAAAGCAGAAAGATTTATTTATTACTTTATTTTTTAAATAAAAACGAGGGGAGGAAGTTGGGTACTTTTTTTAGCCACAGAGTTTGAAATTAGCAAGATCTAGTTTGCATTTTCTAAAATAAAAGTTGTTATTTTCCATTTTCTCTTTGGCTAATGATCTTTACTGAGGGCATCCACATATCAGGACCTTGTATTTCAAATTTTATCCTTGATTTTTAAGGAGCACATAAGAAAATCCTCACACCAAGGGCAAATTAGCAAATAAATCTCAAGAGCTCAAAATGTCAGCAAATAAATATATCTAATTACTTCTGGGTAGTTAAAAATATACATGTTTAAATATAAGTTGATGCTATTCAAATGCAAACAAATATACCAAATCCATTAAACTACTTAGTAATTATTAATTATTAACAAAACAAGTGCTCTATTACTCTGAGAATATTCAACAGTGCATATAAAGTAAAATTTAAAAATTTGCGTTGGATTTTTTATTTGTATAAAAATCTTCATGACTTCTACAAGCTGTGACTTTCTGAAATGTATCAGAGATTCGACCTAAAGTCTTCCATACACAAAACAATGTACATTTCTCTGAATATCTACTGTGAGACCTGTTAAATTTTCCATGTCTATTTTTTCTCATGCTATGACTAGAATCTATAGTGCCTGGTCCTGCTCCTTGTATCAGCATTGGCCACCATGCAGGTCACTGCTCCAACTACATGGCTCATTGCCCTTTTCACTAATAAAAACACTGCCTTTTAAAATTTACATTTTGTTCATCAGGCACCCTTGGGCTTCTTAGAGAAAAAGACTGTGAAATTAATGCAGATTCGGGCTGATTTTATAATAATACCATAACACACTAAAAGCTTAGCTAAAGCAGTGCAGACTTATTTCACTTATGATCTCTAATGACTTTAAAAGTGCATTGATTTTCAGCTTCTTTAGCCGTGCACAGTTTGAACTTAGGTATCAGAGAATAATTTAGTGTTCCACTCAATTTCCTCAAACATTATTATTATTACTACTTAAAAGATTTCCAAATGAAGCAGATCCAAACACTGAGAGGCTCAAGTCTATTGTCATTTCAGTGAAAGCATGAAAGCAGAATTCTGGCATCAATAATATGAAATTGTTGCCCCTGTGGCCAATAAGCAAAATAGAACATTCTACATTCAAACAACCAGCAGATTGTTTGGTTTATGTAAATCAATTTATGAGCCATAAAATATATCTTCTTTTTCACTCTGCATGTGTACCTGGTGAGATTATCAAGGCAAGGCTGTTGTAGCACCTTTTAATCAAATAGCAATAAGAGAAAGCAATGTCTGCCCATTACCCCAAAGCACAACAACATCCAGTCATGGAAATAAGTCAATGCATTTTTTTTTTTTTTTGCACCATGCTTTAATTTTTAATACACAAAAAACTCTCAGTACATGGGAAATTCATCTCACATTCACCTCCGGTTAAGCTGGCCTTAAGAAGCCTGAATGAAATGTAGCTTGCTATGAATGCTGTGTAGCAGCTGATGAAGCTTACTATCTAAACAGCCTGCTTTGTACCTAGACTGACTGCAGCTTTTGTCATCAATAAAAGAAAGTTGGTGGCCTTCTATAAGGCATCTAGAGGATGTGTGTAATAGAGTGTGAGGTAAATGACAGTACCTCCACTGGCTTCCATATTGATGCTGAGCTCTAAAATTTACCATCCGTTTCAAAGTAACTTCTCTTTAGAAACATCATGATCATCACCAACATTATTAATAGAGAAAGTAATACCAAGAGATATTTATTTTCCCACCTCTTATCTTGTTACTACAATGGAGGAAAAAGCAAATCATCTAATGGATATATTTGAAGCACGCAAAGCCTGAACTAATTCTGCTTTGAATAGTCAAAGAGATTGTTATATTCACTTCATTTGCTATTGTTTACGAACATGTGCCAAACTGACAGTTTCCAAACGGAGGTTAAGAATGCATAAAAAACATGTAAAATGTCAACAAGAATCAAAAAGGCACAATTTATGCATTACCACAATTTCATACAAGCAGAACTTTTGTAAGTAACTTAGTGAGAAAAGATACAGCAATTAACAGGTCTCAGAAGAAAAGTAGTAGCAAGAGAACAATAAAATTATCTCTCTATAAACCCGATCCATTGCCCCTTCCTCTACGAAAACTGCAATTAAAAACTTGACTGATGTTTCTAATTATACAATCTTTACCCCATCCAAAAAAAATGATCTGACAAATCTGATGACTTCTTTAACCTTTTTATTCTATTGGTAGTGGTGCAGTAAGAGAGAAGTGTCTCCTTAGGGGCTTCTGTCAAGTTCTGTACTGTATGCTGTGTTCAATTACTTAAGAGAAAAAAATTACTGTGTCTTTTATAAAGTGAGAGTGCATGTTGAAAAATTTCATTCTCTATGCTACTCTGGATGAAGTTAAGCAACTTCAGAACCAAATGTTTCTTGGAATGGTAGCTTGTTTACCTTTGTAATTTCTCTAAAACAGGAAGTCATGGTAGTCCTATAGATAGATTTTAATTTTCTTTTCAACATCATTGAAAACATACTGGTAGCTTTGGGATTAGGCCTCCAATGTGTGGCTTTTTACCAACACAGGATCACAAAAGTTCCTACCATTAAGGCTGGCTGATGCTTTTTCTCACAAGCCAACTAGAAAGCTTTCCACTGGACAGAAATAACTTGGGTTGTAATTGCCCCCCTCTTGTACTAAAAACGAACTGCTGGATGCAGTGGAGTTCATTGGGTCTTGATAGGACAACGGCTCTGGTCTTGTAGGGTCAGCCCTTAACAAGTCTAGACTGTAGAATGTGCTGTCTCGGCAATCAGTTCTCTGGCTACTGACCAAAATGCTGGAGAAACTAGACTGGGGAAAAAAAGAACAAGTAACAAAGTAATGAAGCTGTTTTTCTTTCTTTTGTGGTGGGGGAGGGGGTTTAACTAAGATAAGCATGTATATTATTGTCTAAAAACTTCCAAATAAATAACAGCAAAAAGAAAATCTCTTTGTAAGTGTGGCCAACCTGTAATTTACCTTGCAGTTATTGTCTCCACTTTCAGAATGTCAGAGATTGCTAATAAAAATGAAAGGAGTTGAATTCCTCTTATTTTGGTGAGGTTGCCTTCTTGCTGCTAAAACAGATAAATGATTGACTGGGGAAAGGTTTCTCAAAGTAATTTCCTCCTACAGACAGGATCTAAGGAAAGCACGTTGCCCTGTCACAGAGAAGACTTTGGAACACATCTATTACACTTGTCATTTCAATTGAAAGGATATCTTAACTCAGGTGTTCTACCTTTTCTCTCAGCTGCATGAGAATTTTGAGAGAACTGGATGAATTCTTGCTCCGCACCAAAAAAAAAGTACAGGCATTTTTAAAAGCACGAAGCATGAACAATGCCAGGGCCTCTTGCTTTTCTGCTACTTCTTTGAAAGAGGTACAGCAGCCTGCTACACTTCAACTGAAGGAAGCATAATTTAAAATAATTGTGCAGCATCAAGGAGATTTCAACCTATGGAAACTTATTTATAAATTCCTAGTCAGCCGAACAAAGATCTTAATGCAGCCATTTTTCCTTGCTATATCTTTTAGCAGTAGTGGGATTTATTAAACATATACACCAGCATAATATCGGGACGTAAAAATTAAATGCACCATCCCCAATGTTGGGTTAGTTTATTTAAATTGGCATGGAGACATCATTCATTTAGTAGGTTGCAGACTAGGACCTACTTAATAGCTGGTAAAATCTCATCACTGAGATAAGACTGGAAGATAGTGTTCAGACCAACATGGCAAAATGCTGTCAATAATGCAGGGGACATGTGACAGAAGTTTCCACATGTCTGCATGTTTAGGTACTGTGTAGGCAGGGATAAAATGTGATAACTGAGTCCTCTCCATGTACGTGTTTTAATAGTGAAAAGCTCTCTCCTAATATCCTGATCAGATATAACAAAAACAAATGAGGATTTAATGGCCCAATCCAGTCTGTGCTCTCCAACATCCCCGAAAATATTGCCAATTCATTTGTCAAGAGTTTTGGCAGGGGAATGTTGAAACACCATAAACACAGCTGGAATATTCTTAAACAAGCAGAAAGTTACCTTAAATGGCAGTAAAAAGTTGACTACAGCCTGTGGGAAAGAAAAATGAAATAAACTCCTTCATTGTCTCCAAGTTACAGATATTCAACTGCCATGGTGCAGAAAACTCTGTAGATTGTACCTAAAAATCTCATTCTGACTGTGGGGTTATGGATAAGGGAGAACGTGTATTTTGGGAAATCCACGTGCTAAGGGGATCCTGTCGAATAAACACATTTGGCTTAGAAACCTCAAGCTTTGCTTTGTAGAGCAAATATCTCATGTGAATTGCCATGTATGGGCTTGTGGCATCCTGCTCGTTTTCTCAATGAAGAAGGCTCGTACAGCAGGCCTCGAGAAGTTGAGCTGCCATCGCAGAATGACCAGAGTATCAGGAAGTTGCCTGAAAGCATCTCAAACCATGTTTTCCATATTAGAAAAGATGGCAGAATAGGTTACTGCCCCCATAGGGGGAAATGCATACTTAGATGTGGGCACACTGCCTAAAGCAGGCAAAAGTCCTAATACTTGTTGAGTAGCTTCGTGTGCTTGGCAGGTCCTATGTACTTTCCATGTAGATAGTCATGACAATTTCCTGAGGGGGTCTGTCCTGGAACATGGGCTGGTGCTGGCGAGTCATGATATTTTTTTAAAGGCAGCGATTCTAACAGAAAGTACAGCAATGATTGATGGGGACAGCTGTGGGCACTGGCAGCTCAGCACTGTGACGCAGTGAGGGTACTGAGTCAATAAGCCTGGAGAAACCTCAGTGTAATACCTACCAGGGAGGACCTGGAACTACTGATGTGGTGAGAAGAAATGACATTAGAAAGCTGGGAGGGAGCCAGCTAGACTAATGGGCTCCTATGTCTTCTTTTAGTTGAACGGGACAAAAAGAGAGAAAGAAAAGTGAACCACTCAACTGCACCTCTCTCTCATTCTCAAATGGTGTGACTGAAAAACTTTTATTAGTTTATACCCTGGTTCTGTACTTCTCAGAGAAGCCAAACTTTCATTTGCTTATTTATTTTTTTAAACAGCTGAGCCAGCAATAGACATTGAGAACAGAAATGCTGAGTGCCCTTTATGTGCAGTGCCACTAATGGGAGACACTTATTAATATTTGATTGAAAACTGCAATTCTTTAATGAAAGCAAAATAGTAGCATGAAAAGAATTGTTCTTTTAACAAATACGCTGATTTGGGAGCAGGCCCCTGTAGCCAGGAGTCCCTGGGTCCTGCTAATTGAAAAACGTACTACTGTCTGTCTTTATATTTCAGAACAAATGGTTATAAATGAATATTTTCTTTTTTGCAGTAGGGAATTCTCATCAGTTCACCAGAAATTATTCTTTTTTTAAAAAAGTGAGGGAGGGGAGGAGGAGTCTCCTCCTTACATTGAATCAGCATTTGCATAAAATATTGATGAGAGGGCTCCAAAAAGTTGTTTCAGAAACAGGCTGCTTCTGGTGTCAAGTGCTGGCTAATCAACCAAATGGCAGATTAAATTAGCTAAGTTCTCTTGTTAAGTACAGTGTGTCCTGCTCTTTCCCATGAAAGTTTTGGCTGCTTTAAAATCTTATCTGCAGAAATAACTAATGTATGCCAAGGAGCTCTTAATGCTTCAGGCAGCAATGCGATTCATTCCTGTCCCCACTGGACAGATGGAGAAAGTAAGACAGAGTGTCATTTCATAAATCGGTCAATCCAAGCAGAGGGAGAGCAGAAATCAAGCAAGCATTCGTACTTCACATTCAAGGCCTCTCTGCTAATCCATACATGTGCCACAGCAGTAATTAATGATTGCCCATGAGATAAGCAGCACAGATATTTTTACTGCTGTCATTTGTAAATGGGGAAACTGAGGGATAGAAAAATGAATTGACTAAGGTCACATTTCAAGTCAGTACAAGTTCTGGGACTGGAACTTGGGGTCATTGACCTTTAAGCCATTATAAATTTCACTATGATTACTTTACAGGCCTTCCTTTCATCCCTTCTCCAAGCTATATAACCTTGGGGAATGAGAAATGCAACGGTTACACTGAAGTGTGACTGAGAACAACAAAGGAGAGAATAGAGATTCTCATTACTAAACTGGAAACACAAAAGGGATGACAAAAATATTACCATGCTTTCCTACGTATTTTATTCTTCATTTAGCCACACTGCTTTTCCCATGGTGTCCCCTCTCCTGGTTTGTCTGCCTAAGTGGGCATATATATTATGACAGCAGCAGACTCAGATGACCTGGAGTAACTAGAAACTCTTATGTTTGAACTTGCTAGGATGGCTCTCCTAGTATCCCCCCGCTGGTGAGGATTGTACAGGAGCCAGAGGTTGTGCAGTCCCTCAGAACAACAGACTTCTGGTTGACACTGAGGATGGTACAGGCGATAAGCTACAGATGAGCCTCAGGCACTGGATCCGCTGCTTGGGGATCACACTTAATACCATGACTTGCTCAGCTTTTAGAGAATCACATCTTTTAAGTAAGTGTTACATAACAAGAATTTCAGAACTGTTAGAGAATGCAAAAACTGTGATTTCCATGCTGTTCTCCTTTTTCATTTTCTTTTTTCCTTCAAATCACCTTTAGAAGAAAATACAGGAATCAAAAAGTTGGAGCTGTTCCACCCCCTCCTAGTCTTCCTCTAGACTACCTCCATTTGGGGGCTCAGAAGGTGGATGTAGGTGGAACTTTTGTTCTCTGGGCCTTAAATTCTAGCAGCTGACATCATGAAGTTTTATGTCTAAAAATCAAAAAAAACCAAATGTTCTTCCTCACATGGTACTGAAATTAGGTAAAACTAGTGAGAAGGGTAAAAATTAGTGCCTTGATACTTACGGCCCAATCTTTTCTTTCAGCCTATGATTTGGGGTATAAGTGGTGGCCAAAAGCCAGAGACTGAGAATGAAACTAAGGTTTCTAATTAGCCCTATGGAAATGCAGTGGTAACTACACTGGTCACAGAATGAAGACTTCTTTATGTTGTAAAAATATGGATTTCTTACAAGAACTGAAAAATATGTTTTACACATATGGACTTCCATTTTGGACTGACTTAGGAAACTGCAGTCAGACAACTGTTAACACTCAGTGTCAACCTTTATGAGTGGTTTAAGAAAGGAGGTATGCAGCATCGTCAAAAGGGGAGGCAAACATGGAAAGAGAACAGTTATTTCCAACTATTTTGTACAGCTGCTTACGAAAATAAAGGTTTTCATTGAGGCTCTGAACTACAGCTTTTGCTTATATCCTAGTGTCAATAAAGAGCCTACAATCTTCTTCAGGATGAAGTCACTTTTCTGTCACTGAAAAGACTTCCTGGGCTTAGGAGTCCAGGAGTTTTGCTCCTTGAAACAAAACTCTTAATACCCCGAGAACAGGCCCAGCTGCTGAACCCTTATCTGCTCTGCACTTCTCGAACATCGACACTTTTTTCCTGGTTTGTTTCACTGTCAAGACCATATCTTTAACATTTCTTTCAGGCATAGGCAGAGAGCCAGAAGACTAAGATGAAAACAATAAATATCCTTGCTCATCCTCTGCTCTCCCCCTCACCCTCCAAAAATCTTCTTCTACTTGAGATTAAAAAGGAAGGTGTAGCAGCAGGGCAGCCTATCAACTCCCACCTGACAGTAATAACCTGAACTAATATGTTGGCACCAAGACCTTCCCAACTTGAGAAATAAAAGGTGATCATTTCAGCTATGGTGAAAAGTTCAGGTTGTATAACTTTATCACACGGGACGTATTACAGGGTGACCTCTTGCTATACGCAGTGCCTACATCTGCCTTGACTGCGACACAGAGGTCCAATTAGCACTTAAGGAAAGAGACTTCATAGACAGCACACTCACCTCGACTGAGACCATCAGGTCCCCGGAGAATCCGGCATTCTTCTATCTGGCCAAATGGAGAAAACATCACCCTGATATCATTCTCATTACATTTCTTCGAAACCATTCCTATGAACAATTTTCTGTCTTCCACAGCTAGAAGATAAAAATAATGAATAAGCAAAGGCCATTTCATCTTTTTTCTTGTAATCAATGCTTCATTACCACATCAAACTGGGCCCCAGCCATGTGAGACTGAGCCAAACTCTCTGGACTTGCAGTCCTCTATCCTCCTCCTCCACATGCCCATCTCCCCACTCTCTCCCACCTTGCCCTTCCTAAACATTTTATCTCTTGTGTACTTGTTCTTGCTAATAGAACATCTTAATAGGACATGGAACACTGTTGTTAGGTCCTTTCTCCCCACTTGAAAACAGTAATGTGTTTATTAAAATTTTAAAGTACTTCTATAACTGCTAAACAGTACCATTCAACAGAGATATTTTTGGATACAGATTTTTAATTTAGTTTTTTTGTAGATGTTATTTTAACTTGAGTGACAGGGAAAAAGGAAGGTCAGAAGAGGAAAAACAACAGGAGCAGATGTAGTGAAATAGTAAATGAAACTTTAAACGAAGCACTCACAGGAAGAAAAAATCTTTCTCCCCTTATTTCCAATAGCTTCGCCACCCCCTCCCCCCGCCCTCAACAGATCTAGACAAGCATAAGAGCTCAGAGAGATTACCATTTTCTGGAAAGCTAGGAAAGTACCTCCTTCCCATGGCATTGTCCATGCAGCTCTAACCGGGTTCTGCCCTTGGTTCTAACCAGCTGGATTAGTTACAGTTAAGGAGGAAGCCAATTCTAACGAAGAGAACGGGGCTGCTGCTGCTACTAGGGAGTCACCACAGGTGGTCCCACGTGGTGACACCCTTGACAAAAGGACAATAGGAGGGAGCAGTACTATTCTAACCACTTGGAGGCAGGACACTTGGTGAACAGAAATGCATTTCGGGTATTGTGATAATGAAATGCAATTCTGAACCCAACAAGAGGGTGGGAAATAAGACAAGTTTTTATCTCAGATGACCCGGGAGATTTTCCTCAAAATCTCCATGCCTGTGCTCAGGGTACGTGACCTACATGTAGCCTGTAAGGCAAGGTTAGAACTGATTTCAGGACAGTGGAGCCTTTTTTAGAAGAGTGCTTTTTTTTTAGGATGTCATAGACGCCCAGGGGGAGAAGTCCTGCTTATTTTCCATTGTTTCATTTAAATCTATTTCTTAACGTTAAAAAAAAAAAAAGCTGCTTAGGGGAAAGGCTCTGACATAAGTCACTTGTGCACTTGTGTAGAAGCCTTTGTTTTGAATCTGTATTATAATCTGTCATTACTATTTAATTGGCTTTAATTTCTGTGTCTTTTATTCCTTCCCTGGACAGAAAGTGTCTCATTTTCACTTAACCAACAAGCATTTACTCCAGACTTACTGAGGCCAGTTGCTTCTGGAACCTTAAAATATGTGTTCTGTGCCCTTAAGGAGCTGGGGTAGGTCTGTTCATGAAGCAGGGATGTTGGATGGGTGGTGACTCTGAAACAGTGCTGTCCAGTGCCTGTGCTATTCCGTGCAGTAGCAAAAGCCAAGTGTAGTTACTGAACACTTCAAAGGGGCTAGCATGACTGAGGAACCAATTTTTAAACGTAACTTAATTTTAATTAAAACTTCAGTTTAAAAAGCCACATGTGACAACTGTATGGCTCTGTGTAGCTCTGAAGGGCCTAAATGAGACAGCTGGAATATTCCTTGTCATAGAACCCCAGAATGGAAGTAAGAGACTTGAAAGATGTTTTGTCTGTCTCTAAAAGAGACCCTGAGGCCAGACAGGTGGAAGGGACTCACCTAGGGTCAGTCAGCAAACAGTGTTCCTTTCTCTTCCCAGCCCAGTGTTCCTCTAAAAGAGACCCTGAGGCCAGACAGGTGGAAGGGACTCACCTAGGGTCAGTCAGCAAACACGTGGTCTAACCTCGACCATATCCTGGTATCCTCTTCCCAGCCCAGTGTTCTTTTCACTCTGCTGTTTTTCCTCCAAATTCAGAGGAGGCAGATGAGGCTTAAAGGGGAGAGCAATGGCCGTGATTAGGAGTCCTAGGTTCTAGTTCCAGTGCTGCCATTAATCTGATGTGTTCCCTTGGAGACTTAGTTGACCTCGGAGGACCTCAGTTTTATCATCGATAAAATAAGATTTAAACTCTATTCTTTTTCCTTTCTCTCTTTCCTAAGCAGGAGAGAATGTGGCCTAGCTACAAACTTCGGCTGACTGAAGTGCATAGGGGTGGGGGAACGTTGGAGCGGTGTGCAGAATCCCTTCCACTGGCCTCTCTTTCCAACTTGTGACAGCTCCTTGAACAACTAAGAAAAACTCCAGGGATATAAGGAACACAGGCTTGAAACCACAATTCCACAATAACTTGTAAACCATGAATTGTGCTCCAAAGTGTTTGAGAAAGGCTTGACGGAAGATGTGGAATCTAAGCTGGACTTTAAGAAGCACGGCAGGGTGTGGATAGATTGGCAGCGGGATGGAGGAACAACTTATTAACTAGGCAAGGTACAGAGTCGGTAATAAGTAAGGACTGCATCCGGGGTAGATGGAGAAAAGCAGCCTGACTTTAGGACAACATGTACTGTCTTCTGCTTCATCTGTGGAGAAGGGGCTCAATGTATAAGGAAAGTGATAGACAGTCAAAGGTCACTGCTTATGATGTGACTTAAAGCAGACATGGGCAACAGGCCTCATGGGCTATGATTCCTAGAAGGGAGGCTGCTGAGACCTGACTTCCTTATGCAGATGAAAGATTTTCATTTAAGTTATCTTCCCTCCCTGTGCAGTAAGTATCAGTGATCTGCTGTGAGGTGGAGACAGCCTAATAAATCAAGGGTAGTGCTGGCCTGACAACTAAGCTTGAGAAACATCACATACCCTGGGCAAGGAACTCTCTTTACGCCAAAGCCTTTGTGGTCTCCAATGTCAAGACAACCACAGGCTCCGCATGATGCATGGACTCCTTCATGTGCTAAGGACTCTGGCCTGGCAGGCCTTATGAGGATTGGCATTTTCTTGAATGGGGAGGGGCAAGGGATGGACTTGAAGGAAATGGGGCAGAGTAGGGAGGGGAAAACTTCCAGTTTGCAGTTCTTAACTCCTTCTTCCATCTCATCTCTAGGACTTCCACCCCCAGGGAACTATGGCTGGCATCTTTATAATGGTTAAAAAAGAGAAAAATCCTGTTGTAGTACTTTTTACTCCAAAGAATATGGTTTTAGTTCTTTTAAACAAAAGCAAATGAAAAATTCCCACTTGGTCCTTGGTTGGTGTGGTAAACCTATAATTATAGTATTTTACTAAAACAATTTGCAGGTTTTGAGCTTCAGGGTGATGCTAGAGTAAATTCAATATGCAGCTCCTGAGTAAGGTAAAAAAATTATTTTTCCTAAGATGAATATTAAAAAAATGGAAACCACTTATTAAGAAGTACTGACTTCCTAGCCATCACTAAGGGTAAACTCAACTGGAAAGTGAGGATGAAGATAGCTCTCGCTTTTTAAAATAACAAGTATTAGCTAAGAAAAAAATGGAAAACTACATCATCCATCTGCTATTCAAAATGCTGATTTCCTTTTTTGTGTGTGTGGGCTTGCGTGCGCATGTGTGCGTAAAGGAAGCTGGACATTATAGGAATCGTTTACTAGCCAAAGTGGTTTTAACACTTGGGCCATGTTTGCTTTAATGGCAAAAAGGGGATGGCTAAACATATACAGCTTTTCTCTCCCTTGAGTTTTCCTAATTTTCCAGTGAAAACTTATTCATAAAATTTATTCATAGGATTCCCATTCTAAGGATACCTAACAGTTTTGTAAACATTCTTAAAAAACATAATTATCTTGAATTCACTTAACTTTTTCATATACAGCTTTTCTCTCCCTTGAGTTTTCCTAATTTTCCAGTGAAAACTTATTCATAAAATTTGTTCATAGGATTCCCATTCTAAGGATACCTAACAGTTTTGTAAACATTCTTAAAAAACATAATTATCTTGAATTCACTTAACTTTTTCACCAATTTTTGCTGACTTTCTTGAGGATTCATAGGCAATAAGTATGTCACTTATTTTTCAATCTGTCATAAGCATGTTAACTGCTTAAATGACCCTATGACATTCACAGTATTCTGCTCAGTATTTTAAGAGAATTAAAAAAGAGAATTAAAAGGTAAGATCCCTGTCCTCTACGAGAAAGGCCATTTTTCTCTAGAATAGCCAATGAATGGAATGAATATAGGAAAATACTTTTTATATGTGAAGATGGGGCCCCTCTATAAATAATAACGATAACAAAACTGAAAGGGGTTCCACACCAGAGGCCAAAGTTCTCCTCACATAGTATAATGAGAAAGAGTTAATACTTTAAGGGGTGACTTTTTTAAGTTAGGGGAATAGAAACTTCATTTTTAAAAAATCCCTAATTGTAAGTCTGTGCTAACACCCTAGTGTACAATCTGTCAAAGTCACACCTGGATTTGGGACTGCCTGAATTAATTAACAACTTTTCAATGTGTTAGTGCTAACATATGGCATTTAATTACTGCCTCCAAATCTGTGAGTCCTCCACTTTGAATTTCAAAATTATTTCATCTTCCAGTAAATCAGAAAGTGACTAGGTGGAAACACCCTATGATTCCTATTTTTAATGGAGGCTTTGAAGGTCTTCATCGTCCCCTGGCAATATTTAGTTACCCTGACTCTTGCGAGCTCTGAACTTGATGCGTGGACATTGGAGATTTGGGAGGCCTTGAGAAAGGGCTTAAATGGCATTTCTGGATTCTAGTCTTTAAGGACCCCCAACAAGTTGTGAGGTTGGAGGGTTAAAGCAAGATGGATTTATGCTCTGTCTACAGAGTAAAATCAATCCTCTTCACAATGAGAAGCATGACATATAGTGAATACTGGCTTAAGCCACTGAGACCCAAGCACAGAACCAAAGGCAGCCTCTGTGCTTTTCTTATCACTCACTGCTAGACTAACTTCAGCAAGTGCTTTTAATTTTCAATCTTGCACAGCTGGTACATTTTTCAGCGTAGCAATAGAGGATTAAAAGCTTGATGGTATATAAAAAGAAAGATAGCAACTATATTTGCACTAGTTTATTTAGGGTACCCTAAATCCATACCTCCTCAAATGCCCTTTCTGTATCAAAACTCAATTTTCTGCAATGGAAAAATAACAAAAATGTTGGATTCTGTTGAAAGTTGGTATGTATTGTTTACCCATAGTATTTTTTTTTTTTTCTTTTGGACACCTGGTACAGCAGAGCAATGGAAAAATAACAAAAATGTTGGATTCTGTTGAAAGTTGGTATGTATTGTTTACCCATAATATATATTTTTTTTCTTTTGGACACCTGGTACAGCAGAAGCACATGGGCAGGAAATAAAATGTTGAGTTGCTTAAGTGTGCTAGAGGCTGCAGCTGAAATCAGAGTCAAATGAAAGGGCAGGCTATAGGTAGCCAAAGAGATTTAGGAAGCTTGTTCAGTAAAATCCAAAATGCAGGACTGATCTAAGAGCAATCTAACATTTCTGGGCTCACCACAGAGGTTTCCTTTGTCAGAATCCTTACATGGATGAAGGCTTCAAAGGGTGATTGCTTTTCTGAAACTCATTTGTCCATCACTAATTAATCTGTGATTAGTAGCCATTTCTTGCTCAGCAAATACGAAGTTTTAGAAATCTGAACCCAGTGAAAATGAAGACAGTAACTGTCTAACTGTGATGAGTCCTTTGTGCTATCCATAAATGTCAGCAAACTCAATAAAAGTGCAATTAGGGCTCATTATACTTCTTTCACAACGATAGGAGCTATTTAGAGCATCTGAACCAAAGAAATCTTTGTGCTCTTCAAGCTTTTGAAACTATGCTTACCTGTCAAAAAAGCCATGTGAAATCAGAAAAGGCTTGCAGCTTTTACCACCTACTTTAGAAAATTATACATTTCTTTTGATTCCTCAGTTAGGTCCAAAGAGAACCTTTAAACCTGTTCATATCTATGCAAGGTGAGGTTCCATTTGAGCCTCCATAAAGAAGAGCCCTTTAAAGCAGCTTTCAGTCCATTTACACTTTTCAACTTTTCTTACTGGAAATTCAGAAAATGAAGGTCAATCTACCAAGCAAAGAGTGAACTGGTCCAACTAGAAAGATTGGGAGTTTCAATTCGTATGTAAAGATCCATGCTTTGGTATGAATAGCCCAAGCCTGGACATGCCAGCCTCTGTCACCCAGAATGCACTGAAATAGCTAACTCAATTAGAAGAATTAGGCTGTTAACTTAGCATAACTTATCATACTGGATATTTACTGTGTGCCAGGTATTATGCTAATCTCTTTACAGATGTTAACTTATGTAATCCTCACACAATACCATAAGGCAGGTGTTACAAAAAAGCTGCAACAACACTACTGTAGCCCCTCTTACAGCTGAGGATGTTGAGGCTGAGTGAGGTTAAGTAACTTGCCCAGGGACACAAATAACAAGTGCAGAGTCAGGAATCAAACCCAGACTTCTCAAAATAGTTCTTAACTGCTACTCCATGCTGTTTCCTGAAAAATGGCACTTTGAGGTACTAGTAACAACAGTTCCCAATCACTGGCTTTTTAGATCATACAAAACTGCATGTGTGCATGACACTTCTATTCTGTTGCTGTCATTGTAGACCCAAAGCAAATGTTGTCCCCAGTGTCCAGAGGAGATACTGGACAGCAAGAGCAACAAATCACTCGAGAATTCCTGGCAGCTTGCCTATGAAAAGCATTCTCTAGGTCAGTGTGTATACCTGCACAGTAGAAAATGCAAAAGAAGAAATCCTTTCATTTTTCAACTATTGGGGTATCCCAGGTCAAATGTCTTCAATTCAGTTCTCCATTTGTCATGTTTTTATAACTACAACCTAAGGTTTAGTAATAAGACAAATCCTTTTCACAGACTTTCATCCTGTGGCCCTTGTCCTGACATAGTTTAGAGAATTATGGGGCAAAGGACAGGGAGCATCTCTTAGTGGCAAGAAGGTCTGAGATGACCTGCACTGACAGGATTCATCCCAGAAATACAAGATTCCCCTCTCCATTCTCCTACTGAGGAATAAAACAGACTGCAAGCATGCACCCCAGGAACTCAAGGAATGAGCATGGGTAAAACGGCCTTCCACATAGTTAGACATGTTCCATGAAGAGCTCTAAAGAGCCAGGAGACAATGTCTGGGTGACAGTAATCAACATTTTATGGAAGTGCTCTATCATTTACAAGACTGTTACAAACACCTTATTTGAGTCTTGGAGGAAAAAAAGCCAATCTATGTGAGGCAGTTACTATTATTCCTACTTGACGAATGAGGAGATTCAAGTTCTGTGTTTAAGTGACTACTAGATACTACTAGATGGAATACAAGTTCCATGAGTTTAGAGACACAATTTTTCATATTCTTTTCTTCTTTTTCAAATTCATTGCTGCAGCCCCAGCCCAGAGCAACATGCCTGGCACACAGTAAGTGACCAACGAGTAACTGCTGAATAAAGGAGGGGGTGAGTGAGTTGGTCATGATCTCAAAGCAGCAGCAGATTTTAGAACTTCTGACGCTAAATGACATGTTTGTGATAAAGCAGTATAGGAAAAAGGGAATTAACTCTAAGAAAACTACATGGCTGAGGAGAAGACAGTGGGTAAAGCACCAAAGTCTACTCCCAAAGAGGGGAAAGCTTTGATAAACCAAGTGCTAGCAGCCCTGCGCTACTACGACTTAGAATTTTCTTCAAAACTTTCTGGTCTTTGGAGAAGCCAGAAAATGGGATGCACTACAATTAGCAAAAAATACCTTGTGGAGAGATTTGGAGCCCAATCATAATTTACATTCGTAGATATGTAGATCTCTAAGTGTGTGGCTTCTGCCCTGATTACTAATTAATGAGGTGCAAAACTGCCTGTTGGAAGGAAACAGTGCTGATTATGCCAGTCTTGTGGGACAGAGAAGTTCTGTGGTCTATGAAGGTAGATAATTCTTTTAATGTATATTTCAGTAAATTAAAAGAACAAAAGAGGGACCCAAGTTTTGTAGAAATGGAAGCAAAAACTTAAGAGAGAAATGTGTTCATCACCCTCTCGTGTCTTGGGACAGGCAAATCACAATTATTTCATGGACCTCATCACGTGCATATTTTTGCACCAAAAGTATGATTATTTAATCAGCAGACTGAATTCTGAATGAATTCTGATGCAAATGCATTGGTACAATTAAGAAAGAGTGCAATAAGACAGCTTCCAAGTCGAAGAGAAACAAATGGAAGAAGAAAAAAAAAAGATAGCCTAATTCTCAATGGGCAACTCCTCTCCTGCTCACATCCTCTGCCCACCCATCAGGTGTCTCTGTTGCTCTACTGGAGGAGATAAATAATGGCCAAATGCCACAGGGTCACTATACAGGGCAGGCCCCAAACAGAGGGACGTGGAAAACTATTCCTTGTCCCATCAGGTGTCTCTGTTGCTCTACTGGAGGAGATAAATAATGGCCAAATGCCACAGGGTCTATACAGGGCAGGCCCCAAACAGAGGGACGTGGAAAACTATTCCTTGTAACACTTTCACAGATCTTTATAGCAGAGACCAATGAGGCAAGAGAGTGCAGTGTGCATTCCTCCAGACAGGCCACCGCAGTGGATGGTTCCTGGAGCATGGCCTCTCAGAGAGAAAAAGCAGCTGGGCTGGCTCCTCCCTCCCCCATCTGACTTTTTAAAGCAGCAGACATTATTAATAAGACAGTCGGTTACCACCTACCGTTGGACTTTTCACTATCTGCAGGTTTCATCTGAATGGGATGATGCATCTAAAAATACAAAAGTGAGAAAGTAAAGGCAGATTGAACAACTGTAAAAATAGTCTCAGAAATCTGAAACAATTTGAGTACTGATCCTGCTATAAGGGCACATAAGTAAAACCAAGACTTCTCCCAGGTAAAATGAACTACTTTAAAAAGCAAGACTGTGCTTTACGTTCCAGAATTCAACCCTTTTAAGTCATAGGGCACTGTAACAGTATTTAAAAGCCTGGGCTTTGGAGTTAGACTTGAGTTTTAAACCTGGTTCTGCCATTCAGTATAGTTTCTCGCTCTATATTTAGGTAATTGTGGTTTTGCCATTCCTTATAGCTACATGATCTTGGCCAGGCGTCTTAACTCTTCTGAGCTTCAGACTCCTCACCTGTGAGATGGAGATAACACCTGCATAGTATGGCTGTGAGAATTAAATGAGAAAACACACAAAGTGACTCATAAGCAGAGCCTAGGATATGCTGGAAAAAAAATTAGCTATTGTTATTGTACTATTACAAATTTAAATGCAGATTATCTTTGCTTCTCTTCTGCCCATTCTGTATGTTTGCTACATGGATTCTTCTTACATCCCATAGTTATGAGTAATATGAAGATCTAGCATTTGATGGACTCAGGTGCCAGCATATAATTTTTATTAAATGCTAATAAAAGTATATTATATCAATGTGAAGGCACTGAAATAATGGAAGGAAGGACGAAAGGAAAGAAGGAAGGAGAGAAACACAGACCTTATAATGATCACATTCAGTCCATGTGCAGGAGTACAAAATTTTGCAACAAAGTGGGGCCAGGGGCCAAGGTCCTGAATCATGGCAGACCTAGAAGCTCAATGGCTCTTTATACAATGCTGATGACACCACTGTGCATGATCCACAGAGTTTACTCCAAGCACAGAATGCTACTACCATTTCCAATTAAAATAAATTCCTCAAACTACTTTCAAAGGTCTTCTTGCTTCATATTTCATCATACCCCAAGGAACACAGAAGCCACAGGGTGAACAGAATCACTGGCTATGCAAATGCTTTTATTATAATGGGTCCCGTCTCTCTGAACCTTTAATTTCCCCAGTGGACTTCCATCACTTGCAAGCCACAGCTCTGGGTTTTATCTAATTTAAATAAAAGGGGAATGGTGCTTGGCTCTAGCACTTATATAATGAGAAATTATTAGCAGGAAGTCAGGACCATGTACACCGAATATCTTCCAGGTCCTTTAAAACCCAAGAGGAAGAGGAAAGAGGGAGGACCATCAAGGGACAAGAGGCTAAATAGTTCAGAGCTGCTTCATTTTTCCTAAAAGGCAAGAGGCTCTTATGCACAGAACATAGGATTTGAGATGTTGGGTCTACTAGTTTTCCCACTTCATTCATTAATATATTCAATTTGAGGAGGAGAAATAGTTCAGAGCTGCTTCATTTTTCCTAAAAGGCAAGAGGCTCTTATGCACAGAACATAGTATTTGAGATGTTGGGTCTACTAGTTTTCCCACTTCATTCATTAATATATTCAATTTGAGGAGGATAAACAAGAATGGAATGTTTAGGGGTAAACATATGCATCTTTTCAGAAAAGACTGGAATATATACCTTAAAAAGGAGGCAGAAGTAAACCATGGAAACCCCTGATTTGGACTGAGGAATGTGACCTATCTCCCATAGCAATGGAGAAAAGGATAAAAAAAATGTTTGGGGAAGATGGACAGTCTTTGAGTATGCTATCCTTCCAGCATGCATCTGTCTCCTTGCTCAGCAAACATGGAAGGAATAGATACTGTATGCCGGGTTCTAGGCTAGGGCTGGCCACAAAGGCTTAGGGAAGAAGTTCCTCCCCTTCACCCACTCACTGGGCAGTGAGGGAGACACTGCTGCAAACAGCCACCCAGCAACATGGCAAGTGTTAGGGGAGAGGCAAGACAAAGCGTGTGGAAGTCCAGGGGCATAGGCACTTAATTCTGCCTGGTGAGGAAAGTGAAGGCTTCCTTGCAGAGATGATATCTGGTTCAAGTCCTTGGACTTGACAGCAGGGGAAGAGGGGGTGGCAGGTGAAAGCCATGGGACAGAGAGATCCCATGTAAAGATACAGTGGTGAGAAAGCACAGTTCCTTCTCATAAGGAGTTCAAAATGTGAGCAGGGAAGGCCACAAGAAGGGATCAGTATCCAGGTCGTGGAGAGTCTTGAGAGCTAAGGAATTGAAATTCTGTCTAAAAGTCCACGGTCAAGTATGGAAGATTTAAGTAGCAAAGGCAACAACTGAATTTGTATTCTAGAAAAGTCACTTTTGGCTACAGCGTGGAGGACAGAGTATAAAAGAGAGACATAGGAGGCAGGAAGGACAGATAAGAGGCCACTGCAAACAGTCTAGGTGACACTGATGCAGCTGGTCATAGGGAGAATTCCAGGCCTGGATAATCAGTTGGATTGTGGGATCATTGCCCAAATGGGGAAAACACGAGAAAGTAGTTTTGGGGGAGGCAGACAAGCTAAATTTGATGTGACTGTGGGATGTAGAGAGGAGCTGGGAATGTAGCGGTCAGGCCCAAGAGAAGGGCCAGGGCTACAGAGACTGTTCTCAGAGGAGGTAGTGGAGGCCATGGGCAGGGACGAAGCCATCAGGGAGGGAATGTAGAGGGAAAAGAGCCAAGGACAGAAACACGGAGAACAACAGGAAAGAAGAATCTGAGGAGGACAGAGAAAAGGGCAATTAGAGGAGTGGGAGAAGCAGGAGTAACTGGTCCCACAGGAGCCACGAGAGGAGAGTTTCAAGAATAAGGGTGTGTGCTCAGAACAAGTGCTGCTAGAGGCAAATGAAAAGGCCAAAGTATCTTTTTGGGTTTGGCAATAAAAAATTCTTCAGAGCATTGATCAAAAGCAGTTTCTGTGGAGCGGTAGGGGCCAGAATGCCAGATTTTAGGTAGTGGAGGAGTAATGGGGAGGACAACAGTGGGTATGATAAATGAAGACTCCTAATTCGGGAAGATTAGCAGGGGCGGGGCAGGTTGGGGGTTGGAAGACACGGAGTTCAGTGGAGGATGGGAGTGGAGAATGGGAGGTGGCATCTTCCTTGTGGGACAGAAAAGACTTGTACAGGTTAATATGCTGAAAAGAGTCAGACGAGATTCACAGCTTAAAGAGAGAGGAGGGAGGAGGGAAAGGAAGAGCACCTACATCAGCACAGGACACAGAAGTGAAAGGAATGCTGCTCTCACCCTCACACAGCTTACGGCCCAGCAGGGTGGGTGATATGCAAATACATAAAAATGGTGACAAACGTGAGAAGAAAAGCACAACTAGAGTGCTACAAGCTCTCAGATCCATCTATGAAGTGCATGGAAGACTAAAAAAGGAAATCACGGAGTGGTAAAGACAGGATTACTCTACTCTAAAGCTGTAAAGGGTCCTGGAAATCATATAATCCAACAGTCTCAGTTTATAGGTATGAAGGGAATAAGCGACTTTACTAAGGACACACAGCTGGTTAACGACAGAGGTGAGATCAGAAATCTAATCTCCCTACTTTAAATCCGGTGATGACTCTCCTATATCACACTGCTTCTCCATAAAATGTCCAGCACAGGATTTGGACACATGAGCCTTCGGTTCAGAACTGCAGGCTTTACTCACTGAAGGAGCCAGAGAAACAATCACTTGAAGGCGCCTGCAATCTCTCTTTAGGTGAAAGTAATCTACCCTTCCTAGAAAATTCCATGACACTTTATCCCTGCAGTTTTATGACTAGTATTGCACTAAGCCTTGACTCTTGGTTTTCTTGCAGCTGCTGAGAGAATTAGCTCAGTTTCTAACCTAAGACTACCCAGAAGGCTCAGGAAAGTAGTGGTAGTAAGAAAGCAGCCACTGCCACTATGGACTTGAACTTTGGGTCTTTCCTAGCCCTGGAGGAGAGAAATCAACTTCACAGAGATCTGGATTGTCAGACCATGGTGAATTCTGAAGGGGTGGTCACCCTACTTCAGGTATGTTCTAAGGACAATTTAGATAATGTTAAGTACAGCACTGTGACCTTCTTGGAGAAAGGTGTTCAATCAGTACTGTACTAAGACTGGCTCATTATCATGAACAGTTCATTTGAGTTACAAATTTCTGATCACATACAGGATGCAAATGTCAAGGAAGACAAAAAAATAGTTTGGAGGAGTCATTCTCATAATGTTGTTTCACTTCCTCAAAATCTCATGACGAAGAACTTTGGAAGATTTCTTGAACAGAGTAGGGAAGTTACCGTAAAAGAGTGGGCATTCTACTTTAAAGTTCTGAGTTATAACAAAGGGAATCTTTCTCTGTAACAGAAATGGTTTCAAAGATTTGACCCAGTGTGACTCTAGGACTACTCATTCATTCACTTGTTTCTGCTTTTACTAGTCACAGTGTTAGATGCTGGCAACAGAAGGACGAGAAAGAGTTCTCATTATGATGGAGCTTATATGGTAGAAGCAGAGACAGATACATCAGTCATTTCCCACACTATGATATAGACATGCAGTGTGGGAACTCAGAAGAGAGATACTCAACACAGACTAAGGAAGGACAAACTGGAGAAGGTGTCTAAGATAAAGCAATGTTTGAGTTCCTTCTTGAAGGAATCCTAATGCTAACCAGAAGGTGCCTGAAGGACATTTCAGGGAGGAGGACAACATATTTGAAGGCACAAAGGAAGAGAAAATAGGCCGTATCATTATTAAAGAATGATGGTATGACATTCTAACCAATAGAGGAAGCAATAGAAGTTGTTAAAGATCATTCACCAATAACAAAATACCTAAAGCACAACAAGACTAAAAATGAAGAATATATTCATAGATCAGGGAATTTCAGGTAAGTCGAAAACAAGGCAAGTTGACTCAATCCTGAATTAAAACTGCGCAGGACCATGACTCGCAGCCAGAGGTCATGCCCTCAGCACCTTTCTCGTGCACTAAAAAGGAAATCAGCGGGATCTGAACTACTGCTTCTCGACACTGCTTCCAATACGACCAG